GGGAAAACGATTTCCTCCATCGTACGATCCTGGCGCACAATCTGATAAGAGCAGGATATTTTCACTTGTAAAGATTTGTATGGAGCAAATTCAATGCCCCCCCCCGCCCCCCCGACACGACAACATAATGCCTTCAGTTGTGTGACTGTTGTTACTGATGTTATGTAACGTGGTTGTGTTGCGTGTGCGACCTCTATCTGTGCCGTGTGGTTGGCGTAGAACTCCAGGGCCTCGTCTCCGTCTCCGCTGTCCCCCCCTGGCTTTAACATGATGGACAGCTCCTTGTTATGACGCGCCAACTGTAGGAAGGACACAAACGACAAACAAAAAGTGGTGGAGTCTTATTTGTTTGTACACAGTGTCTTTACTCAATTCCTGTGACTTTACTGTGCACCACTGATGCTGAGGTGAATAGCAGACCTGATGAGCCAGAATGTAGATATTGTGTCCAACGTTTCTGGGGGATGCGGCGTCATGCTCCTCCTCGTCTCCGCTGTCCTCCTCCTCCTTTGACTCCTCAAACTCGACCTCTCCTTGGAGATAGGCCTTTTTGATCACCTCCACCAGCTCTTTAGGTCTCATGTTATACAGGATCCTCTCGGCGTTCTCGCTGTCATGCCGGCTCTCCATGATGGCCAGGAGCAGCTTCGATGCATTGTTCTGAAAAAAAAAAAAAAAAAAAAAACTAGACATGAGAACAGCTCTATTTTCTTATAAACAACAACTTTCAGGGCTGCTTCAGGCCTAAAATGTAATGTTTTCTGAACAAACACCGACAAAAGCCTGTGGGTTTTTAAAAAAATTAATTCATGATAAGAGAAAAAACAGTTCTCTCAGATCTGTAACCACTTCAGTAACAAAGCGGTTCCATTTGACCTCATTCCCACCAGCGCAGCTCACCTTCAACTCCAGCACCAGGTCCATTCTCTTTTTTCCAAGTGGGTTGATGTCGTTGAGAATCAAAGCGATGATGATATCAATCCCATTTGACTCATGAGTGGCAATGCAGTTCTGAAGAAGCAGCAGAATAACAATGTACCACAAAGACGAGAGCTGACTCAAAGGAGGAGAATATTTCGGGGACACGGCGGCTTGTTGTTTACCTGATTTTCGTGACATGGTCCCTGGCAGTACTCTGTGAGACTCTCCAAGGTTTGGTTGATGAGAGCCACGTTCTTTTCATTGATGTACAGTCCCAGCAGGCCTAGACCGCCTGTGGTGCTTCCACAAATACAGTCTAAGAACTGCAGGGTCTCACACACCAGGTTGTAGTTGTTCTTGTTGTTCTGACAACGAAGGAAGTTCTGAGGAAATAAAAAACCTTTAGTAGTTCCTGAGGTTTGTACGGGGGTATTTGTTAGCAATGATGCTATCCCTCTGTTAATGTTGCTATGTTTTTGCTAGTGAGTAAACCAAGTAGGTGACGATACTGAGAGAGCCCTTGGCTAAAAGATTAAAGGCTCAGGCTTGTAATCAGTGAATTTGGATCGCAGCCTTGGCAGAAGTGTGGAGAGTTTAACAAACACTAAACCCAACACTTCCAGCAAAGCAGGATAGGCTAATCATTTAGCTTAACCTTGGAGGTTGCTACTGTTACAGACAAATCTCCCTGTAACTTTTATCATCTCTCGCCACATGGCGGTGTCCAACGCTCCCACCTGTAAGTCCCTGTTGTGATTCTCACAAAGGAGTTGGAGGAAGCGGAGGATGGGCTGCATGATGACGATGACAAAGCTCATCTCGCCGTCATCCTGGTTCTTGTCTCCGCCGCTGGCCTGGCCATCCACCGAGGTGAAGTGCTCCTCGGGGTCTGCCTCGCGGCGGTACGAGTTGAAGGCCTTCTTGGTGGCAGATGAAGCCTCTAACAGTTGTTCCTTCACATCCTCTGTCATGACCACTGCAGGGTCTTTGGCTGCACAGGCAGAGACATCAACACCGACTTAGTAACATTATAACTAAGATGTTTTCAGTTAGGATGTGGTTCATGTTGCAGGGCACATGCGGTGACGTTTTGAGCATGCACGTTTACTACCTAAACAAAATGTTGTCTTTAAATGCTGCACAGCTGCGGCTGTGTTGGATCATCTACCCTCTGACTAACTATATCCAACAACGGCCATAACCTGCCACAGTTTTCTGATCACCTCCTTTTTTTTCCAAACTAACTCTGCAGAGATCCATGGAATAGGAAATAGACCTTAGGCACATTATAACTCTGTGATTCATACTAGACTGTAGAGGATTAAAATGACCTGGATGACTGAGAACCAGCACAGGAACTCATACAATAAACATAATACATCAGAAAAATGACAAGTGAATAACGACCTTTTTTACGGACAGGGGCATCTTTATCCTGGCTGTCATCGTCCCTCTTCCTGTTGCCCAGGTCACTGGTATTGACCGTCACTGTGGCTTTGATCTCCAGTTGTGCCAACTTCATGCGGTCGTAGAAAACCCTGAAGAACTTTTCTGACTTCTTGTCTTCGGTTAAACGGCAAAAGAACGAGCGCTAAAAATGCAAAAAAAAAAAGAAAAGTTTTTTAATGTTATTATGAGGACAGAGTTATTTTAACTCAGAATAGCATGTATTGACATTTCTCAAAAGTGTAAAAAATGTTTTATGATACTGTCACCAATTAAAACATAATTATTTTAAAAAAGTGTACAAAATGTTTTACGATACTGTCACCAATTAAAACATAATTAAATTGGTTCATTAAATGAATGAAAATTTTAACTTTATCATAAAATTACACATTTTATTACATTTAGTATTTTCTTCTAGAAAAATTGGTTTGTACAATATAAGGATGTGATGATAAAAAAAACTTTGTTGTTTCTACTTTACAACTTTTTATGCGGTAGAATTCTACATTGAATCTTAAGAGTTAGAGTTTGTTCAGTGCTGCTATTGCACCAAGTGTCAGGTCTTTGCACCAAGTTGTGAGTTGACAGCAGAAAAGGAATAGTCCTGTGACTGTGTCTGGGGCCCCACACAGCTTTATGTAACTACAGTGAGGTAAGACAGGGTTAACTGTGACATGAGAGGCTTAAACACTACAGTTATTGCCTCGGAATGGGGTCACGCTGAATTAGAACACTTTCGTGATGCGTACACCATGTCCTAGCTGTGAGGGCTGTTGTTTTCATTATATAAGTGCTCCGTATCTACAGCAGCCTATGGAAAGACTTTGACCAGCTGGAGCCGCCTCACCCCACTGCCGAGGTGAAAAATGACTGTAAAGGGAGAAGCTCGGCCTAGTTACACAGTGAGAGAAAGAGCCAAAAAAAAAAAAAAGATAGAGGTGAAAGACGGGCAACAAAAAGGAATCAAAAGGCAGAAAAGGGAGAACGACAGGGAGATGAAATGAGAGTAAGACAAGGGGGCGAGAGAACGACAGGGACATGAAATGAGAGTAAGACAAGGGGGCGAAAGAAAAGGAGAGAATCCTGATATCTAGGCCACTTCTCCGGCTTTGTTACATAATTATGTGTCTTTTCAGGTTACATGTAAAACTGGGCTCCGAGAGGGAACAAATAAATGATAGTCACAAGGAAACAGTTAAGGAAAACAGACAAAACAAGACTTGTTTTTCCCCCGACCAAGGACACTGTGGGTTGCATGCACTCAGTTAGCGTCGCTGAGCGTTGGTACCTAATGTTATTAGCATAGCTAAACTTCAAGTCGTGACCGAGCCAATTAAGTAGGCAAACAAGGGAGAACTCAGTGCCGAGCAGAATTCTCAAAACTTGTTTTTTTTTTTTCTTCTTCCCCAAAGAAACAAAGGAATAACTGTGCACTTGCAAATTCCAGAGGCATGTGCCCTGCCCCAGTGCTCTACCACTGAGCGGCACCCCCTCCTGCACGTACACACTCTGCCAACAAGCTCAGGGACGAGGAGATAGCGGGGAGGGGAGGGGCTGCCGAGCGAGGCCGTCTTGCAATAAACAACTTGATGACAGAGAGAGGAGAGCACGGAGGGGATTAGCTGCACTGCTGGCAGCACGCAACCACCGGCATGCCTCAGGTGGGCAGGGAGGTGTTGGAGGGCGGGGGGGGAGCAGGCAGGGGGGGGGTGTCTGTTCGAAGGGGGGTAACGCACAGAAGGTGAGGCAAATGGCCCGGGGCCAGAAAAGTCAGACGTCAACTAGACCAGAGCAAACAATTAGGACAGAGCGCTCACTATCACCACCCTCATCCATTACGTAAGACACACACACACACACACACACTTGTACAGTACAAGCTAGAGAAAGAGAAAGAAAGAGAGAGAGAGAGAGAGAGAGATAGAGAGAGAGAGAGTACTCCAACACACCCACCACCGACTTCTACATTCACTGAAGTGGGTCAGCCGTCTTCAGTATAGACACTGATGCCAGTTCTGTGAGGACACACACACACACACACACACGTATCACACACAGTAGGTTCCTCCTGATGTCTGTGTCTGTGTCTGTGCTGTCAGTCACAGACACGTCCACTCCCTTTGCTTTTATTAGCGGGACACTTCTCATTTCCAGGATATCCCAGTTCACACGCTGTACACACTCCACGCTGCGGACGAGCTCACGGCGTAGACTGGACACAAACATAAACTTTAGCAATAACGGGACAGCTAATAATCTGACAGTATAGATAAATAATATTTCTAAGAACCTTCTGAATAAAATAATAATAATTTGGAATAATAATAAACAATGATTAAAACTAAAAACTCACACGCACTCACGCTCAGACGGCGGTCTTCACTGAAGAATAAAGTGAAGGAAGGAGGACGAAAACGAGTCCAGGACTCATTTTGTTGACGACCTTTGAATTACATTCTCCTTGTTTATAGTTTTGTTTCCAAACTTAACACATATCCCACTGTAGTTCTAGAAACAATGACGCCTCACTACGGCATGACAGTCCCATCTTTGTCCTTCACTGCAGGTTAGGTTTCTTCAGCAGAACAAAACATCAATATATTTAATACTTCACCCAGTACAACTGGAGACAAGTTTATACAATAGGAGTAAAGATGTAGGTACAACAGGAAGTGTCCACCGTATGTTCCTCTAAATGTGGGTCATTTAAACAGCTTTTCCATACAACTATACCTGGGACCATCACCTTCACAGTCTACAGGCAGAAAGAGTCGTGGTAAGTTGGTTTAAATGACATTTTTGCAGTGAACTTTTTTTTGTTGATCTTTGCCTGCTGAGGTTTGCGTGGGTCACCAAGTGAAACCACGACGAAACCTGTGCACTTTCCTTAGAAGTGAAGGTATTGTTGTCGCTTACTGACAATGAATCATAACGAAGGAAGAGGCTTTGAACGATGTCGCTGCATCTGCACCGTTTCGACATCACTTCTTACACTTATTCTGTACTAGAATCTGTGCTGCTGCATCCAGACACCGTCTGTGTTTTTATAGCGCTCGAAAAAACCACGGACGTGATGAGCGTAAAGAGTGACGACTTCACGGACGGTCAGGGGAGAGGATGGAGCGATGGCAACAGAGGAGGAGGAGGAGGAGGAGGAGGAAAGTGGCAAAATGGAAAGGAAGAAGCATCTCGCAGACTCCCTGTAGTTTTGAGTAAACACACATTCTGTCTGTAACCATGGAGACGAGCCCTGAGTGGAATGAGACGGGATGAGGTGGGGGCGGACGACGGTGAAAAACAAGGTCACAGCGCTTTCCCTTCTCTCCTTCCGTTCTGCCACTTGGCATCAACAAAGGGATGTTATGTAACAGCTATTTATACCCATACTCCCTCTCTCTCTCTCTCTCTCTCTCCCTCACGTCGGCCAGTGCCACATGCAAACCAGACTAAATTGTGCTTCTTCTTTCCAACACCTTTTCCTTCTTGGCTCAGCTCCTTTTTTCCCCTCAGATCAGCAACTTCAACTGTGTATTACACTGTCATGTTCCCATTGAAATACAAGGTTTAAGGTTCAATTCTTAAAACTGAGAATAGCACTGAAGAGCCCAGGTGATTTGTTAGGGAGGCAAACAGCCAAAATGGCTACATGTCTGATGTCTGATGAAGTCAATTCAAAAGCACAATTTTCAAGGTCTGAACATCTGCAGTCTGCAATGTTCCACTGGTCCACAGAAGAGCA